AACTTAAAAATGGAAGTTTTTTTGCAATTCTTACGATTACTATTAGGATGATATTTGAGTCAGCTATTATTGACGTGCGAATAAACCTTGGTTCCTGAAATATATTTTTGTTCTGTTATTACTTTGGGTTCTTAAGTAACATGTAGATCGATATAACGCGCTTTAATAACGGAGACGAGCAAACCTTTGGATGTTCCACTATTAATAGATGCTTGGTAAGCACTCTGATCTGTACCAAGCGCAGACAGAATTATTATGTGTGACCAAAAATGTCACTACACCACGACTACGGGATCAGCTGTCTCTCTAAAAGCGCACCGACTGGCTCCCGAAGAGTTGAAGTTGGGCAAAAATGATTTCTACCACATGATAGACGTATGAATTATTCCTCCATCAGCGAGCTCATGGTCATCTTCATTTCATATGGCTCCTTAGAAGGACGGAGATGATTGACGTCTAACTGGTAACTATCCACGACTTAATACGAAAACAACCCCCGATAATTACTAGTTGCCTTACATTCACGCTTTGACAGCCACCTTAAAATATACGAATGTTTTTCGAAAATTGATTTGGTTAAAGCGTATTATCAAATTCCCACCGCTGCATACGATATTACTTATACCGTTATCATTGCTCCTTCCGGTCTCTACTAGTTTTTGAGCATGCCTTTTGGCTTAAGAAATTATGCAAATACTTCGTATTGGCTCAGAGAGGACGTCTTTCGGGACCTCAACTTCGTACACTCACATGACTGCTCGATCGTAGGTCTGGACAGAGGATCTCACCTCCAGCACCTGATCACTGTCTTTCAACGACTGTAAAGCACGGCAGATTGAAACAGACCGCCCACCATCCACATACAAACAGGTTGGTAGGACGATTTCGTTGACGGTTGAAAGTTTTACAGTGTAATGACGCTCTTCCATTCGTTTCACTTGTTATCCACAGTGCAGTGGAAGCTGACATTATATAAACTACAGCACAACTCTTTTGTGGAAGGACACTCTGACTTCCAAGAGAGTTCATGGAACTTTCATCTTCTTTGATAAATGTGGATCCAAACTCTTACACAAGAAAGCTGACAAATGCCATGAGTTCAGTTAAATCTGTTTTCACTCGTTCAACTTGCCTCATAACATAGTACACACATTTTGTGCATCGAGACTCGTTACGATTACCTATCGAAGTGGCATATGGAGGACTTTCTAAAGTCCTTCAGCCCAAACCTAAGTACTAGTTCATCTGTGAGAACGGAACTAATAATAAAATCAGCATTGATCGGATTAAAGCCGCGTACTTGGAAGGAGACAGGCATAATGCTGATTTTCCTCCGGTACAATCAAACGTTACAAACCCCACAATTAAGATGCCACACCCCATAACCAACAGTCACGAAAAAACTTCAGTGGTATCTGATAATCGGCTTATAGCAACGCGTCCTGGAAGAAAAGCAAGGTTCCCAGAACATTTGAATATTTACTGCACTTGGGACATAACACGACGTTTTGTTCCGTCTCGATTTACTTTGTATCTTTACGTCAAAAACCTAAAACCAAACGTTTTCTTACTAATATGCCCATATGTTTTTCCAAAAAACAGTGCGAAAATTGTTTCTATGCAATTGAATTTTATCAGTATGTGTGTATGCAGTTTTATTTTTTAATACTATATTTTGTGTTCTTACGTACGTACGAGTGTATTTCGACATGAGTTTGCAATTTGTTTTTTTCTTTTTCAGGATGGCTGTAAGCGATATAAACTGACGAAAAATGAGATGAATAGAAAGTTTCATCGTACTTTTTTTTCATCGCTTTTGTGTACCAAGTGGCTCATTATATTAGGGAAAGACGACCAAATATGTTACTTTGCGTTCACGAAATGACTTGGTTTGCATTGAGAGAAGGTATCGAAAGTCCAATAGCTTAATACAGAGATATACATATACACCAAAGCTTCAAAATCGGAAAAAATAGAGCAAGTTATAGGGTTTATCCGGCTGAATTTAAAACAGGTAAACAATAAATATAAGTAAACATATGATAAAAATGGTTGTCACTTACATGACTAGTCGATACAGATTCTCTGACGACGTTTGTGAGTAGTTTACGACAAAATTCGATACGAAACAATACCAAAAAGGTCACGGATCGTAAATAATAGTCATAAAAATCATCCAGGAATTTGAGCCTTTTGAATCTAATGCTTTTCAGAGATGATGAAATTTCTAAATATCAGGCGTAACTACACTAAGAACCCTGAACAATATTTGTTTTGGTGTGGTGAGAAATGAGCAAATATAAACGACCAATATGAAGTGTACATACTTGGAACGGACTGAACTAGAATGGTTCCCTACTTTACATCGAAGTCACATCGCGTGGATAGTACATATGCCTAAGATAGTTGACCTGAAAATAGTGGCTAGAAGTGTCCATTAAAACCGAAATGATTAGCAAAAGTATCCGATAACTATGAGAATATCTCCCCAATAAATTATTTGTCGCTCCAGTAGACTGCCTTTCAACAAGGAAAGTGGGGTGATATAACTGAACGGGTAAAGTGATAATTTAGAAGCTTCATGACAAACACAGATTTCTTTCCTTTCGTCAGCTCATATAAAACGTCATTTGTGAATCCTTTGAAAACCATCTAGTTAAAGACATTGTTTTGCACATTTACCGAGGTTATACTGATTACCGAAGGTACACAAGCCGAATATCCCAAATAGACCAAATTTCGGCATACATAACTCTCCTGGTCACACTACAGCAAAGTGGTTCGTGACCATTTTAAACCCCCTCTATAGACACCTGGTGAAGCATAGCATTAAGGATGTACTCCATTTTACCGATAACCTCAAGAGCATAAACAACAAATGACAAATAATGATGTCCTTAGACGCAATACCATGTCAAACTCAGGAAACCTATCAGATATATCTGTGAAAAAATTAGAGAACAAAAAATATAGATTACAAATCCTGTGGACACCACCGAGGAATTGTTACTAGTGTGCACCATGGACGTGAACTTCAAATTCAGTTTTGAAATATGTAGACAAATAGGTGTTGTCGTGATTGATTTACCATTAGCCGACATTCTCCTCACTTAGCTGGAAAAAAGACTACTGAACAGCATGTTGGCAGGTTTTTCTCATACTGTCGTTACAATGACGATACGTTAATCATTTTTAACGACGGATAGAGACATTCAAACGATTTAGTGACATTCATCCGTCTATTAAATTCTGATGTCGAGAAGAAAATAGAGATAGAAAAACGTCTCCAGATGTTTCACCTATATGGAGAGTAGGTGGGTGAGTAACAAAAACCTTCAAACGAGAAAAATACTTGCACTGGCCAATATACGATTGTACGTAGTTTTGTTCCCCGACAATATAAAAACCTGATTAAGACACTTCATTATAAGATCAAGACCATATTTTTGCTAGATGAGGTTAATAAGGAACAAAGGCGTTTTGTGCCACTCTGAAAGAAAACGAATATCCTGAAAAATTTATAAATAAGCATTTAGATGAAAAAAGTGAGCATATGGAAGACCAGATCGTGAGCACAATGTCTTACGATTTAGAGGCGATGCACTCAGCGAAATGCTAATGTTAAAGTCGCACAGAGCAATCCAAAGAACATGTAATGCAAGTAAACTATAGCCTATGTTTCCCACACGTCCGATGATTACTCCGAAATTGAGAGATAACATTCTTATCACTGCGAACAGGTGGACCGTGTCATTTAAACTTTAACGATCATATCATATTAAATTTCAAGCTTACTTACGACGTGCGATACAGGAGATCGTGAACTGTTATATTTGTGACAGTAATTACTGGAACTCGGAGTTTGTTTAGATTTCTTAAGAATGTTTAACTGTCACGGTTTGTTTGTTTTGTAAGACCGATAAGCATAGTTTTCTAAATCTCTTCCTCTTTTCCTCATTCAGTATTATTATCAACAGTCACTGTTTATCAACGACTTGCCAAATATTCAGTCCTCTCAATCTTTCAGATGGTTCGAAAGTACAGGTCCAACAGACACCCCTATCATAGAAAACGACTTGAACACAAAGTATGGTCAGTTTACTAGTAATGTGATTCCTACAAATACTGATGTGTGTAACGTTAATGGCATCAAGCAATGATGCCTACCGTGCCATAGGTCACTCTTCACAACTAATATCTGGTCACCTTATTTCCTGGAGGACCACTACATTCAACTTATAAGGTTGTGTCGCCTCCCATAACTCAGACGCAGATCCGAACGGGTCGGCATTTTATTATTCTTCCCAACAAACCTGGAACAGACAAACTATCGGAGGAGCATAATCTAACGATGAACAACGGCAATTACATTAGATCTTTTTACTTAAAGGAGACATCGTCATCTAGTAATGAATTCAAAGAAGAAAAACGACCACAAATTTACTTGTAATTAAGTGGAGACCTTACTTAGCTACTTTGGCATCGTTAGGGCTGCAACAGATGCAATAGTAAATATGCTGAATCATATCTTGTGCTTTTTTCGTCGCCTTAACAAGCAGCTTATGTGATTTATACTAAGAAGATAGTTCTTCAGAGAATACATAAGACAGTCCTCACGACGATGCATATCAAAGTGTCCATCATTAGAATCCGTAAGTTGTAAAATTTCCGATCGGGAGCGTTAGTCACAGCATCTCTCGCTGATCATATATAAAGAAGCCTCAGCTTTCACTGCAGTTCCTGAAGTACTGCGAGAATTTAATTCAGATGATATTTCTCAACATATCATTATTTACAAGTGGTTTTACCATTTAGGTTCGAAATGAATAAAACAAGAAGTATGCTCCTACACATTTAGGTAATCCAGCTTACCGCTCACAGTCGAATACTAAAAAACAAACTGTTAGCTATTTGTTTTCACCAAAATGTTAAGATTTGAAGTACAACCAAATTATTTTTATTAATGGTCTGAAAACGGAACAATGCTATGAAAAGAATACGACAGTATATTCGAAAATAATACAACGTTGCTGCTTAGCAAAAATTGCAGTTCAAACATTACTATTTTGCTAAGGTATACTTTGAATGAACCATTTGTACACGTATTCTGTCAAACGTCACGTCAATATTTTAAAATGTCTTCTGAGACTTCGAAAGAGGTGACAGTCAATAAATGGGATGTTGGTGCGCTAAAAATAGCACTTGATGATGCAGCTAAAGAGGTAACACAAGTTTTAAGCAATATTTCGTAGTTATTCATGAAAAAGCATGGTTTACTCGAGACACACAAACTTTTCGATGGACGACTAATATTATGTACGATATCTGTCCTAATAGCTGGCTTCGGAGTCTTATTCGATTACTTGTACCCACATCCTCATTCTCGAGTAGTACTAATAGTCTGTGTTACACTTTACTTCTTCATGTCTGCTATAATTACGCTGTATGTAATGTATATTGAGAAGAATGTCTTCTTTACTGGACTCAAAGAAGATAAGACGGGATTAGATCCAGCCGACTCATGGACAGTATGCTCATATATGAACAAGTAATATCATTCTAAATTCTCAATTTTGCCCATAGATATGATCCTATATATCATATAAGCTTAACGGTATGTGACGGTATTACCAAGAAAATCAAAACGCTTTCCGTCAAAAAGTCCGCAGCGGAGTTCTTCAACATAAAAGGCGAACTACAAAGAAGTATATATGATGGGTTTTTGCAGAACTTGGTATCTGACTTGTATAGTGAAAAGAAAAGTAATTAATCAATAGAATCTCTGTTAACTATTTGTATAATTACATTTTTTTCACTGTTGTGTTCAAAGTCAGATTTATGTGCTGTAAAAACCACACGTTCATACTCTTTCTTACAGTTTTGTGTATTTTAACATAATTTAACACGAGCATTCATAGTACTTCGTTGACTTTAGGCGCTTTTTATGTTGAATATGTAAACTTAGTCTATGAATCGATCACAATGGCGTCGGTGTATACACTCTGTCTTCCCTTAAACTAAGAGATTGAAATCGCTTCATAATTTTCTTTCTTGAACTAATTCTTTCTGTACTATATCCTTATATGCAATCTTTCTTTTATATATTACCACCTCTGAATTAACTACTTTTATGAACCCGGCGTCCATTTTGTTGTGTTAATGAGGTATGGCAACTTGGACCGATGCATATATGTGCCTGGCCCTACGTTGTGGCTGACTGACTGACTATTAAATTAACGAATGTTGGTTTGAGTCGTGTAAGAGAAAGGTAGATGGCTGTTGTGCGTGATTCGTTACAAGTCATTAATTGGATGCTGCAAAATGTTGAGCAGTGGTCTGTACACCCACTCTTCATGTTGTTCCGAACCTATTTGCCTTTCTTAGTCTATGTCAATTATGTATCTTTCGGATTGTATTTTTATGTTGAGATATGTAGCAGCATAAACTGATGCATTTTTGGCGGTCTACTCCAATATATTTATTCTTTCCATTATTGTAATAGTTCAGTTCAAATGGTTGTGGACGGAATAGAAGCTTTCGCTTAACAGGCTTCCGTGTCTAGTAGCAGGGGATCACCAAATCCTCCAGGCAGGAACCTAGGTATGTTAACAATAAAAGAGGAAAAGAAATTGGTAAATCATAGTATGATACTGTCCTTGGTCCTTAAGAATAGGTCAAGTTGCCTCTTGAAGGACTCCTGAGAAGTCGCTTGGACTAGCTCGGCCGGCAGCGAATTCCAGCTTTTGACAACTCTTAAGGTAGTAGAAGTTGTGTCTACATCCCGTCTTGCTATGTTGAGTTTCAAGTTTCTGGGTGTTACCCCTTAGGTTAGTATTCGAACTAAGCTTGAGTAGGTGTTTAAGAAGATGTCCAGGAGTGTTAAGAATACTATAAGCCATTAATAAATCACCTCTAAGACGCCTATACTCTAATGGGTAAAGATCTAGTGAATGGAGGCGTTCTTCGTAAGGCTTAGATTTGAGTCCGCGAACTGATTTCGTGGCTCGCCGTTGGATACGCTCCAAAGTGACCTTGTCCTTTTGGAGTGAGGGGGGAGTACTATATTTCCGTACTCTAAATGGGGACGGATAAAACTATTGAAGATTGTATGGAAAGTTCTTCCGTCAAACTGGCCAAAAATGTGCTTCAATGTTACCAGTGCAAGGTTTGCTCGGGAGGCATTTTTGTCACAATTAGCGTAAGACTTTAAATCATGGGGCACCAGGACTCCTAAATCTTTTTCGACTTGGGATACTACTAGAGAGGAATTTCTAAAGTTATAACTGTAGTCTGCGACATGTCGCAGATGGACTACTTTACACTTTGAAGTGTTAAAGGTAAGTCCGTTATCATCTGCCCAACTTTGAAGTCAAGTCAGATCCTCCTGAAGTGTCTGTGTATCGTCTCTCTCCAAAGTTTCACGTCATCGGCAAAAAGTAATAAGTCTGACGTTACCTGTTGAGGGAGATCGTTTATGTAGATCAAGAAGAGGCCCTAATACTGAGCCCTGGGGAACCCCACTAGGACATTCCATAGCCTGAGATAAAGTGAAATTAACCCTAACCTTAAAGTGTCGATTTTCTAGGTATGAAGTAAGCCAATCGATTAGAGGTGGTTTGATACCTAGTCGTTTGAGCTTATTGATAAGACACAAGTGGTTAACTTTATCAAAAGCTTTTGAGAAATCAAGGTATATGATATCAACCTTTCCCTTGCGATCAAGGATGCTTGTCCATCTGTCCACCGCAGTCAGCAGGTTGGTTATACAAGAGTAACCCTTCCTGAAACCATGCTGTTGGGGTAAGAAGAAGTTTAAGGACAGTAGATAATCGTTTAAACCATCGCATATCAGGGACTCCATGAATTTTGAAGGTAATGACAGAAAAGCCACCGGCCGATAACTTGAAGGTTCATTGCGTCGACCCCCTTTGTAAATTGGTGTGATGTGAGCCAACTTCCAATTTTCCGGTAGTTTGCCTTGGCTTAGCGAGTGTGAAAACATCACGCTAAGCGGCGTTACCAGGATTGAGGTTGCCTCCCTCAGTATGACAGAATGAACCATATCCGGGCCAGGAGAAGTATCTAGTCTTAAGTGCTGCAGTTTCCGGAACACCAAGTCAGCGCTTAGGTCCACTTCGGAAAGCCCTGTGGAATTACAGGTGAAACTGTCGTCAATAGAGTTGATGTCAGCCGGCTGAAATGTTTGAGAGTAATGTGCCGCCAGAAGGTTAGCGGCGTCACCATCGTTGTTGGTTGGGCCGTTAAGACCTAGCAGTTGAGAAACTCCTGTTTTGGCTTGACGAAGAGAGGCTGCATAACGGAATAGGCTTCTACGGTTCGCAGTACTTTTATAGACAGTCCTTTGAAAACGATGTGACCTAAGATGTTTTATGATAGGAACACCAAGCTGACATACTAGACGTCTGCAGTATTCCTACAGTGAATCCTGAGATCTCTGTCAGTAACTATATGGCAGTTCTTGAGCCAACTATGCGTGAAGCAGGAGGTCTTGTTTGGATGTTTAAGACATTTAAAACTCAAAGAATTGGTTAAATATGCCGTGACTAAACCTCGGTTAGCGTGTCCTGTCTAAGAAGGATGTACCTTTTGGTCGGACGGGGATTATCTAGTGGTTAGTTGAACTGTATATTATGCTACTTGTTATTTTCAACTTAATTTCCTAGTCATACTGTTGTGACATCGGTCCAACGATTGTTATAAGGGATTTTGAGTTATAATTAGAAATATGCAGACTTCTGCCGGAAAGCTATATTTTGTTAGACTGTTGTAAACTTAACAAATATGGGTTCGAGGCTAAACTACCGAAGCTGTGCTCTATCCAAAATACGCATATATTTCGGAAGAGCTAAGCAAGAATTAAGGGGTGCATTAATTAGCTCACCCTCGTTATCAAATTAGCGAGGTAGCCTAATTACTATCATTTAATTAAATTATGAATCAATATGGATGATTTATGAAATATGAGGTTCATCAAACCAAACATTATCTATGGTGTTATAACGGAGGAAATGTGTGGTCGTTAAATATTCCACCGATCGGTTGGACTGATTTGAATAATGTGAAGGAATGATAGTTATTCACAAAACCTTAGTTATTAATTCAATACCCCAGTTAACGATTGTGAGAAGACAAAGTAAGCAAAATGACAAACATGATTAAAATTTATTTACGTCAATAACTTCTTGCAGGCCAATAACAAACCCATGAAATTAAAGTCTGACTATTAGACTTCGTTATTATCCGTTATATCAAACAGCCATAAATTAACAGTGAATCTCCGTTTTAGAAGCACTGTGTACTATATAGTGCAAGAAAAAGGATTCGACTCATTTTCTCTACACTGCCGATAAATGATGATAAAATTAATACTAATGATTGAATCGAAATGAACTTGTTTAAGCACAGGTATGCGTTGGGAATGACGAAACAGTATACGAAAATATCAGCGCTTTGATAAAGCATACTGCTGTTTTAAAACTACAACAAACAAAACATTGTGTTTTGACGGAATAAACTTTATTAGTCCTTTTCACCAGGATCAAAAGTACACTTTGGCAAGAAATATGTATCAAAATACCAATATCTTTGAGAAACATCTTTCCACATCTCTTGGTTTGCAACGTCGACAGCAACTGGGTCAAATATACAATTTATTCCCAACCTAGATAAGAAAAATGTAGGTATTGTATTAAAATTCCAGCAAACACGAACCAGAAGTGTTCGGATTTACATATAATGGATGTATAAAAAACAGAAATAGAAAAATTACGTCATAGTGTACATCAAAAGAGCAAGAAGAAACCGAAAACAGAACCAACAGTAGTGGACGATAAATAGGAAAAAACGAAAACAGAAAGATATAGTATGTGCGATTGTCTGAGGGAGATTGAAAATCCATGCTATGTCCAATCTAGTGGTTATTATAAGTAACCACTCAACGTTTCGTAAATAAAATGGGAAGTGAAATTGATTTTTAAACATAATTCTTTATCTGATCCATAAAAACATTATCTTAGGTTTTCGCAAGCGCTTAACAGTAGTTAATGAAACTTAGTAACTACAAAACATTTTGTACAGTCTTTAAAAGCCACTGATTTTTGGTAACCCACAGACCTAAGTTACTTACGCGCAATGTCATATGACGTACGTATGTCAAGTTGCATTTTTGAAGATATCAACCCTCATTTCTGATCATTTTACTCCTATATCTCAATGACTGATCAAAACTATTCAATCTATTTGAATCGGACGCAATAAATTCATTTGTGTATCGCAGAAACTTCTGTAATTTTACTTTCAACATAGATCCAAATGCTATATTAAGGAGAGCTATCGATCATCATTTTGATATTAAGAAAATCAACTAATTAAATACTACCATGACTAATGGACGAATCAGGAGTAGAATGGTCATCTGAACTGCTCCAGTCTTTTAACTCAACTTAGCTTATCTATTAGGGAGTTAATATTACTCGCTAGTTACCAAACCTGAGAAAATCAGAGACGGTCTTTATTTACGCTGTCATCGACAGAAGTAGACACAGGCAACGGGACGTATCTATATATTCCTATAACATATATTCTCACACCTCTAGAGTGTGAGAACGAACAGTAATCAGGAAAGTGGCTGTATTGTAATTGATGTGTAGTAGTGAGAGTAAATGTGTTTGATCACTGAGTGTGGAAAAACAGACAAGCAATTTACTATTAAACATGTGATTCCCTTTTCTCTTATTAGCTCCTACTCTGGGTCCACTGAGTGACTTATTGTAACCATCAGGAATGAAGTATTGTTTCCCGTTACTCTAGTTCCTTATTTTTGGTCATGAGCCATATATCTGATAAAACGTGGTCTAGTCTGTGTATAGCAGATCTTCCGAATATCCAATCTAGCGGCAATATAGGCTCAATCATACGGTCACCAGTCTTATTACCGTGTCATTTCAGTAGCGTAGTATACTGCGGAAAGATATTTAAGTTCATCCGGTATATCAATTGTGTAGCTAATCTGTAAGTACCTCGCTTCGGTTCATCATGTAAATGCTGCAAATTAATGATAGTAATTCCATTAAGCTTTGTTTGAGATTTTAAACTGTAATTTGGACAATAATTCCATTACTAAATTTGAATTAAATAACCTTAAAACCATTCACTGAATCTTTATACAAAAGGTTTTAAAAGAGCTCGACCAATTTTTCCTTTGTTTATTGCCATAGGGGATTTACCAATTAAAAAGGAGTATGTCTAGAAATTAATAAATTGAATTCATACTATCTAATTAAACATCGAGAATGCAAATTACCTCTTTAAATGCAACCTCATTGTTTCGCATGCAACTCCGTGAAAAAATACATTGTCAGGACACAAACTGTTATAATAAGAGTACCTTCCTGAGAAAGATGGATCTCCCAGACCTTTTTCATTAGGGATAGCAAGAAGTTTGGGTAACCACGTATGAAATTCTCTCAAATCATTGTCGTCTTCTGCATATGTGTCAAAAAATATCCCACTAAACCTTGGAATTGTCCCGTCATCAATTTCTTTGGCTAGTAAGACGACTGCATCTTGCCATTTACTTGGAATTATCTTGACGCCTGGCTTAGCAAACCATTCTTCGGACTTCATTTTCTCCAACACCTACAATCAGTACTACGTTAGTAGAGGCATTTACAAAATTTAGTTAACCAAGCATAAGCTCTACACCTAAACAATATTGTGTGCGCAGAAAGAAACGCCGTTACCAAACAGTCACCATCCCATGAAACGTTCTAAGAGTCACGTGTAATTCCAATTATTCATTATTTGAGGCATGGCTGAAAGCCTCAATCAACAAGCAGAAATAATGTTTATAATTTAAAACAGACAGTGTCAATCTTCTTATAAAAATGAATAAAGGGATAAGGAAATAAATCAGTGATATTGGTTTTCCGTTAATTCGTAAAGCAAAGCTGCATACAAAAACTTCGTAACACTTTTGGTTACCAAGATTATAAAATTACCCTATTAACATTAGAGGTTTCATAATGAACGATAGCATTTTTTTATTTGTTTACGCTCACGGTTGTAAAATAGTTCGAAATAAACTTTGCATTATAACCAATATGTCTAGTGGTGCTGACGATTGTTCATCTTATTGCTCTGGTAGCACTGAGCAACAATGCCAGGATGTTTGGGATGCGTTTCTCCCCCTCTAAATGTAAGTTGTTGCTTCAGGACTGGCCTGCGTCAACATCTGAACTAAGGATAGGGAGTGAAGTAGTCGACAATTTCACTTATCTTGGAAGTCTGGTCAGCCCTAATGGGTTGGTGTCTGACGAAATCTCACCACGGATTCTGAAAGTTCGTTTGAATTTTGCCAACTTGCGTCACCTACGGCGAAGACTTGATATCCATCTATCGAAGAAGCGACGAGTATACTGCACGGCAGTTTATTCTGTTCTACTTTACGACCACGAAACGTGATCAATAAGAGTAGGAGATTCGTAAGCTACTAGTATTTGACGACAGATGTCTTATAAATATATTGCTCGCATCTGCTGGGATCACTGGGTAAGTAATAGTGAGGTTAGATGCAGGGTATTAGGGAATAATGGTAAATCAGTTGATGCGGTTGTGAATCTTCATCGACTGAGATAGCTGGGCTACGTGTTACGTATGCCTAAACACCGATTACCACGACGCGCAATGTGGACTAGTGTTGGAAGTGGTTGGAAGAAAGTTGTGAGCGGCCAAGCCAAAATCTGGCATCTGTCTTTGAAGGTACTAACTTTTGATCTGAGCAATGTCGGTAGATGCAGACTACTCGATTGGAGTCCGAGCGACTACCGTAACTAATGGTTGGAGACTCGGGGTGACATGGCTCAGAATCGGTCACAATGGCGTCGGTGTACACTTTTTCTCATCCCTTAAATTGTGAGATTAAAATTACCTGACATCTTCCTTTCTACGAACTCATTCTTTCTCATTTTAGTATATCGTTATATATATAAGTTAATAAATAAAGTGCCCAGCATAAACGATCGTTATTAAAATACTCAATGTAGTTTGACTAGCTGTCTACCCTAACTAGCAATGTAATCAAGTAATAGGAAAACTGTTGGTATTGAATATGGTTAGACAGAATTCCATAAAAATTCATGAGTTACTGTAAACACAAAAAGTATGGGAGGGGTGATAATTAATCAGGAGACAGACAACAGTACTGTCTTCCCCATGGAAGTTGACTATTTGTTATAAACACTGTATTTTCCGTTTACTTAAATTATTCTATTATTTGGAAAAATTGGTAGCTTGAACCACTGCATATTCATTCTAGGTTTTTAGTTAAAGATGATAACAGAGACTCGGTTACAAACTGCATTGAGAGGAATTGGACCGTGTGAAATTCATGAGACTGACTTGGGAGGAACAGGCTGATTTTTGATCACATCGCGTATGTATCGACCATGTTTTCATTCTCCGTCAAATTTTAGAACATTGCTATAATTATTGGAGGCCGACAATCGTTGTGTTTCTTGATATTAGGGCTGCGATTAATCCGTTGGACAGGAATGTATTCTGAGATTGTCTGGTGTAGAAGGGTGTGCCTGGGAAGTTAATTAATACCTTCAAGGCCAAATATACAAATACTATAGGCAGTAACGGCATATGACCACCTTTATGCTCGGTTTTGATTCAGCAGTGAGATTTGACAGGGTTGGCAAATCTCGGTATTGTTTTTTAACTCTACCATCGATGACATTCTGGAAGCAGTTCCGATGGTAGTGATGTAGGTCTATTACCAGGAAAAAGACTCTTCCATCTGGAGTATACGGATAAGATTGTCTTGCTTTGTGATGATACACAATCTATGCAAATCGTACTTCATCAGTTGGGTATTTGCGTCCGTAAGAATGGTATGAACATTTCATCTTTTAAAGTATTTAACCAAGGTTGGTGAGAGCATTTGCTGGCATTCGCTCTTTGCGGTAAGCCGTCCGAAGTAGTTGAAAAGTTCACAAATCTGGGTGATCATGTGAGTGCCGGGAGTGGCATGACGGGTAAAATCTGTCCACATATAATGAGTCATAGGTACCTGACAATTGTGTCCATCCTTGGAAAAGTCACAATATTAATCTAGCTGTAAAAGGTCCGGTTTGCAACACGTCGGTGAGAGCAGTTTTGTTCTTTATTAATGAAACCTGGTCTCTGAGTTGGGGATAGGCAGCAACTCTGTTTCTGATAATCATTGTCTCCGAAGGACTGTTGGCACTCAATGACTTTAGTGACTTGACCATGCGTTACGAATATTATTGCAGGGGATTTCATACGGGGTATTAGATGTCGACACTGGGTAGAAAATGAGGTGGTCATGACGACGTCGGTTTATCTAGACATCTGGTTGGTGTTCTAAAGACGGCGCAACTCAGCACCTTGAAATGTTATCAGACGTAGACCAGATTGGAAGCCGATGATTGTTGAATCTACGTTTAGTTACAAGCGATTTTTGTCTTCAAATCTTAAGCAACTGTACCTAAGCTCTCAAGTAACTTGAAGAATATAGTAGTTCATGGTCAAAGAAGTACATAAAATGTTATCAAAATACCAAGTGATATACCTGAATAACAAAGATGAATATCATGTTTGTGCCAAAAAGAACTTAACTTTATAGACTACAAGGATTGTTGCTCCTTTGACGTGAAATTCAAGAGTCTCGTAAGGAGCATGATAACTTTCAGTAAATAAATCGGAACTTAAAGGTTAACATTTCAAACTTCAGTTCATTTGCAGACCGACACTGTTTAGAGCTTTCTGGTTTTGTAAGATACTCTATCTGATGTTAGCGGGCAATGAAGACTATCGTTTATATAAACTAATCTCCAAAAAATGCTACTTACGCCTGTTACTCCCAATGGAGCATAGGCGACCGAACAGCATTCTCCAACCCACTCCGTTCTAGGCCTTCCTTTCTAGTTCTATTTAATTGTTATTCATTCATCTCATGTCTGTCTCCATTCTCAGTATAATGTGTTCTTTGGTCTTCCCCTCCTCGTTTGGCCTTGAGGATTCTAAGTGAGGGCTTGCCTTGTGACACAGTTGAGTGCTTTTCTCAATGTGTGTCCTATCCACTTCCAGCGCTTCTTCCTAATTTCTTCGTCCACTGAAATCTGGTTTGTTTTCTCCCACAGTAGTTTGTTGCTGATAGTGTCTGTCTGGTCAACGGATCCGAAGTATTTTGCGTAGACAAATGTTAATAAACACTTGTATCTTCTGGATGATGGCTTTCGTAGTTCCCCAGGTTTCCGCCCCAGTAGACAGTAGAACTGTCTTGAAATTTGTATTGGAAATTCTGACTTTGATGTTGGTTGAAAGTTGTTTTGAGTTCCAGATGTTCTTCAGTTTTATATATGCTGTTCTTGCTCTGCCAATCTGCGCCTCCATATCTGTATCAGATTCACCGTGTTCATCAATGATGCTGCCCAGATATGTAAAGGTTTTCACATCTTCCAAAGCTTCTCCGTTAATTGTGATTAGATTGTTGCATGCCATGTTGTATCGGAGAATCTTGTTTTTCCTTTTTCGAAAAAATATTAGGCTAAGTAATAATTCAGAGCCCATTAGTGATTAGTTTCGAGAATGATTCATATTCTAGTAGAAATTTATGACATGAAATTAACTGAGTAGGAATTGAGGAGATACTCTTACATGAAAGAAAACAGTGATCACGCTATATTGTGAATTTACTGAAATTGGAGAATACAAGGTGTTGGATTTCATCGAATTAATGAATGGTGTTAAACTTACTTCAAAACGTCAAGTTTATGGGTTTCATTCCATATCAGGTCATGAATGTACATTGTCTGCACAGTTATAAACAACCCCGAAAATATGGTACGAATCTAGTCAACGTCACTCAAGCATTTATAAATCTAAGAGACTAACCTGTTAATGGTTCGAAAAATTGAGAATGTCTTATTATGAAACAGTTTAAGAATACATGTCTATTAGTATTTGTCAATTTCAGTTGGAAACGAAGTATTCTAATGGTTGGCTTGAGATATGAGAAAAATATCTGATATTATCTTACACAATAATGAATAATTAAACCGTCCGAAGGATATATTTCACTCAACTGTTTTCAGCCATTATGTCTGGAAATATATGAACTTATCGTTTTTAGATTATGCTGTAGATATCTACCAGACATCTCACTCAAGAGAGATTATTTGTTGTACTTTAGTAAAGTTCCGAAATACAACTGAATTAATCATAATTAAATGAACTAGGAGATTTGCAGCTGAAATAAGGACAGAAGTTAAGATAGGAATAAGGAACAGCAGTAAAGATGTTGCTGACTGATGTTTATGTCTAGAGGAATACCTTTTGAATTAAAGCTTACCTCCGAATGAGCTTCTATTATATAATGTGAGTCAGGTGAATACTTTTGTATAGCCGTGTCAACAATCCCCAAACCAAATCCAATATTTAAAACTCGAATAGGTGAACTGATAGTACTATCTATTTCGTCTGCATGACAAATCCATGCTGCATGTTTCTCCATTATTGGAGTTTCCCAATCCATCATTACAGCCAGATGAGTATTAGTGTCAATGAGACATTTTCTGTCATCAGAATACTCCAGTCGACTAGAAAGGTAAGAAGCGTTAAGAGCTTCTGAGGAATTATTTGCACGTGTGTTTACAGTAGTAGTAAGATCCATAGAATCAACATTTTCCAAAGACTCTCCTGCATCTGACTTGTTTAATGCAATACACAAAAGTAACTCAGACATAACTGCATGATTCATCAGGATATCAATACAATCTTGCTGTTTATTTCTAGCGGCATAATCCCCGGCGCATAAATAGCTTCGATCAACTGCATTCCAGGGGGCACCTTCTGATAATAAATAGTTTACAATATCTGTGTGTCCAGCTCCTGCCGCAACCATTAAGACGCTCATTCCAGTTTTAAAATCCTGTGTAGAAAACGAAGGACAAGCCAATGTTACAGTAATACAAAAGTGCGCGTTTAAAGAGCATACACCTAGTACTAAATGTGTATATTTAACTGGGATCATTAAGTACCTTGTCGAAACGAGTTCTAAGTAATCTTGCCTGTAATTTCCGAAGTGTATATTTTCAAGTACTCAGGTCTGAACACAAACTTTTAGTAAGGGAATGAGTGTAGGACAAAGTCTTTAGGAATATTTGTTTTTAGTTCGATCTCAGCACCATGATTTGTTGTAATTATTATCACATCTTGGTACCTGAATGCTTTTTAAAAGCATCAAATCGTTATGAAACAGTCATGTCTTTTCCGCTGATGCCGTCGTCTCCAGAGTCATTTAACATCATATAGCTGAAAGTGATCTTAGGCATAACGATTGTAAAATATAGACTATTCAAACTTGTGTTAATTTATTTCGGTTTCTTACTTACTCTGAAAAAGTGGCTTACATCAAGTCACGAAACGTCAGTATACAAATTTTCTACTCATTGAAATATAACAAAAATATTTTTATCACTAACTTTCCACCCAAAGCTCAATTTATTTGAAACTGTCAAGTCCGACCTTGACATTGATACCTAGAAAATATAGACTATTTGAAACCATAACACCACTTCTAACCTTACTAGTTAGCCTTGGTTGATCATATAGTAAAAGTGACTCAACAACTTCACAAAATTTAACTCCACAATGAAGTCAAAGGTCACAATATTTTATGAGTGTTCGTAAAGACGACATTTTTAAAACCTCACTGTTTATTTCCTACAGTTACAAGAAAATTTTCTAGTCATGTACTTCGTATTTAATCGTACTAGTGACATTACAATCTTAGATATTTTAAATTACTTGGAGTTCGGAAGCACTGAGCATTTCCTATGGCGATTAAAGTAATTAAACGACTTTCGTATAAAACAAGTTAAAAAGAGACCGAAATTAAAACCGTTATGATCACCCATAAAGCTGAATATCGATCAGGAATATTTACGACAGTAAATCAATAACTGTTGTGTCGTGACTTAGTGGCAAAAGCATTCAGTTTTTATTACTACGTTTGTGTGTATAAAAGTTTCTCCACCTATAACGGTTTGGGCAACCAAGTGTAATGAACCCCATGGCCCCATACTGATAGTTCGTGACAGAATCCATAGACATATTTTGACACTAGTTACAGTACACTTAACTTATATAGTGTATAACATCGTCTACAACACAATTTTCCCGTTTTTTGATGGAAACAATCTCAACTTGTAACACTTATCAACACAAAATTAAATGAACTTAAATTTTTCACTAAACTTAGTTTTGAATAATAAAATTTAGCTAATAAATAGCCAAAGTACATATTTTTCCAGTTTTACTTAGCTTTTAACTACGATTATCAATCACTAGCCAGTTTTAAATGTACTAATAAGAGTAAGACTTAAAAAGAAACGTTTGCAGACCAAACGCGACGTTACCACAAGGAAAATAACGAAGATATTGATGTAAGCTAATGAGGGTGATATCCATAGGAAAAGGACTGTAACAAACCTGGTAACATATATCTGCATCTTCATCCTCTACCAATCGTTTGACTTCTTCAAAATTACCGTCGTGGCATGCGATAACAAGCGCAATATCTACTTGACGTGGTTGGACCTCGTACATCTTTTTTGAACAAATATGTGAGTATATGGGAAAAAACTGAAGTTTTGTTATTTCTTAAAACGGAAACAGATTAAAGAAGTCTGTAAGGAAAATAAACTAAAATATCGTAGAATATACCTTGGAAATCAAAACTTTATTAGATAATAACAAAAAAGAATGCAATAAGCTAAATCTTAAATTACATTTGCAAAGAACTTAACCAGTGAAATCAAAGTTTGGATGTTGTGACTAACATTTCCATGATAATCAAACCAGACTGAGGGATAAATACTAAAGCCACTTGATTCCAATCGCTAAGCTTTTTATAAATAGAATTTTAAACCTATTTTCAATAAATTAGATGTTCAGTTTTTTGAAACCACCGGTCCAAAACATATACGAAGTTTAAAAAGGACAATCTAGTATGCAACAATACTCGTCAGAGTAAAAATCTTACAAAACAGGTAAAAAAACTTAGGAATAATGTAGAGTCTAGCACAATTAGATAACAATAAAGAATGTAAACAGTTTTATTCAAGAGTAATTGATGTAGTCGATTCGCATTCAGCCTATATACCGATCGAACTTAGTGTTTTAGTAATGAACCCACAAAAGCTATAGCTTGACTTTTTTTCTGACAGACGAAAGTTAATTACAGTTTTTTAACATTTGACAGCTTACTGTTGATCATTTAGTTTTTATTTTACATCCAATACATATGTTTTGTTTTGCACTGTCTTGAAATGTAGTATTTTAAGCAAATGAAAGTTGTTGGGCTTGTTTGTTTCGCGTTGATTAACTATATTGGAAAAGGAGGCAAATGGCTGTACTCACTAAGACAGCAGAATGTGTTCTACTGAGGTATACTCCACGTAATAAATGTATTTTAACGCATCGAAAAAATGATTGTGCAGTAAAATAAATCTGACTGTAAGTGTTTACGTCAGTTTTTGCTCAGCATATGCGTTTGAGAATACCAAAAATACCTTTAAAGAGCTTGATTAAGTATAGTACACAAATTTCAAAAATAATACGAAAATTTATTTGACATTTTGAATTTAATGAGAAAATGAAAAAGTGGACTGGACATTCAGAAACCAACAAAGCTACTTAACAAGCCATCAGCTCGCTGGATGTTAATTGATTGGGAGTTTGATCCTAAAACATGCACTCGCCAGATTAGAAAAACAATCCTTACAATTCAAATAAAATTCCACATGACCAAATACCCAATGGGCCATGTATAACCCTTTCATATATAGTATATGAATTAAAGAATGCAGTCACATCAATTGACTGAAAACGTCAACGCAAGTTATGTTTATAATTTATACCTCAATATAATTTATTATTATTTAAACACATAAACAACGGCACAAGATCTCACATGTATATACGCTACACAAGTCCTTCGACTTGTGTGAGGACTGAAATACTGGCAGCACACCCAAACCAAATCAAGTGGTTTTATTAGGAGGCCACACCATGAGCAATACTCAAGGTTATATTCAGAAGTTTAATCATGTAAATGGTATAGTGAAACGCACCTTGCTCTTGTAACAGCTTAACAGACACTCTTCATGACTAACATTTTTTTCACCTCACTCTACGAGATACTGTTTATGCGGCTAGTAGCAAATCAGACGAAACCATTTTACATAACTCGAGAAAGAGCACAAGTATTCGGATAACTACTCTTTTCAAAATATTTGAAGGTTATGAGATACATCCAGTCAACCTCTAAATGTGTTAATATCAGCCTAATACTCTGTAAAATGACAAAATATTGTCGTGAGCATTCAGGTACTTGATTTTCATGACCTTAACGGACAATTATAATTCACTACTTGTACCGGTAATCAGAGAAATATTACGCCATTTACCCATAGATTGCGAAAAAAGAGTGGTCAAAGAGTATACAGCTGCTATTGTACGAAAAAAGCCACCTGATTTGTTCTCCCATGACGGCGACGTTTGTCTTAATAAAAGGTTTAGCCAGTTTAAAAAACTAATTTCTCGAATTCGAATTACTCGGACCGCTTCCAAAATTCGAAAAATACTAATTCTTTCAAATTTTGACTAAACCTTGAAATTACTATGTTATTTTGAACATATCGACTATGAACAGGGAGAGTTTAAATATATTCCTGGTTGTACTTGAAGATTTGGAGTATGCAGCGACAGTACAAAACAATGGTACCTCTAATGGATATAACTTTTAATGGCTAAATACAAACGAGTTATATAATATTCACAATTAGGTTAACGCTTGATTGCTTCTACTTACATTTTATAAACAACTACCGACATCCATGTTCACCGTCACCGCAATCAAGTAGGTGAACCATATATAAAAGATTTTACGGCTCATTTTCATGAAAACTCAATCTGTGATGTATTTTTTGACTAGAAACACGGTGAATTTTACTTGCTTGAGTTTGTATTGTTAAAAATAACTATATTAAGCTAACTAAAGATTTACTTACGTGGTGATAAAGAAATACGTCAAACTGCTAATAAATTGGAATAAAAACTATGTTACAAGCACTAGCAATACAGAAATTGATGTGTGATGGAAAATAGCCTGTTAATAGCTGATAAATAACGACACAAAAAATCCACGACAATATGTAACGTGTGCGCGAAAACTCGTGGCTTACCCGCCAGTCCGTGCCAAGTTCCAGCCACGAGTAAGCTCAAAAGGTGCGCCCCACAAGGTTATTTAGCTAGGTCGGCTTCAGATCTTAAATCAACACATCGACAATTTTTGAAAGAACAACGACCCAAACGTATTGTGTTGGTCGTAACAGTAATTGTCTCTCGATCGTTCTAACGTCTTTTTAATGTGCTGAGAGACAGAGCGTCAACCACGTATCAAGTTAATAAATTTCATTCGTTTGTCATTATATGGGGAAGTTCATAAATGGTTTCAAATGTTTCTGAACGGAAAAGAAGGAGCATTCGCCCAACGGACTTCTTTATCTAGTGGCAGTGTATCACTGATGCCTCCAAGTAATAACCTAGGTATATTTAGCGATAAAAGAGAAAAAATATCAATTTGTATGGATAGACTGTCGTAGAGGTAAATAAATCCCCAAAATAAATAGCTCTGTAAGTCTTCGACATTGGATGCTCACCACATTAGTTTTAATGGACTCACCTAGCTGGGAGCTCTCGGTCATACATCCATACCAGATCACGAGTTGGAACGCCGTGCTCAACATCCCCTATAATCACTAGCCAGTTTAGATCAGTCGATCCACGATATATTGATAGCCTATCAAATATGTCTTCGAACCTCCTAGCTTCTGTCTTTTGATTTCACTTGGTGGGTACGATTCATGTAAGAAGGTGTTACTGGTTAAATCGTTGTCAAACTCTGGATACCTGTGGCAACTTAACTGTCCTCAGTCTTCAATAATACGTCACTTGGACGAGATAGCCTCTCAGCAATCTCCAATATTTGGTACTTCTAGGGATTAGAAGGTACGTCTACTGTCCTATCTACTGTGTTTTGTAGGTAGTTTCAGGGTTTTACTGTCAAGTTTTGTAATGGGACTGGGATTAGGTAGGTGTTTTGGGGGATTTTTAGAAGTGTTTAGGATTCTATAAGTCGTTGCAGGGTAACCTCAGATACTCTTACACTTTAATGAATGAAGATCCAGAGATTTAAAGGGTTCGTCAACTTGAAACATTTCTATAAACGAGTTACCGAAATTGTATTCTTTGTCTGCAGCATGTCTTAGATGAACTAGTTTACATTTTGAAATGTTAAAGGTAATTTCGCTGTTGTCTGAACAACTTTGGAGTCAGTTTAGATCGTTTATATAAATTAAGAAAGGAAGTGATTCTAGTACTGAACCATGGGAGACCTCACTAGAACATTCCATAGCCCGAGAGAAATTGAAGTTAACCTGGCCTTAAAATGTAGATTTTTTGGATGTGAAGTGAGCCACTCAATCAGTGGAGACTTGATACCTAATTGTTTCAGTTTGGTGACAGGGCATTCATAATTGGCTCTATCAAAACTTTTAAGAAGTAAAGGCATATGACGTTAACCTTCCTCCTTGCGATCAATGATGGTTGTCCATCTGTCCACCATGGTAAGCAGGTTAGTTATGCAAAGTTGAGAAACTCTGTTTTTGGCTTGTCGAAGAGAGGCTGAATGACCGAATAGGCTTTTCGAATCCGGGATAAATTTGTCTATAAGCTTTATCTGGTACTGAAGCCTATCTTCTCTCATTACCTCCGTGAGTTAATTCATTGCTTGTTTGAATTGCGTGTATGCGCTTTTGTTACCAACTCGTTTATATTCCGCGCAGTAGTGCTTTTGACGCTTGGTAAATGAAGGGTGCCAATCTTCTGGACTGTAGGTTACTCTTGATATTTGATGACCGTTTTCGCAACAGACTGCTTTGAAGCAAATAGGATCAGTGCAGTAAAAAGTCCCAATGAGCATCCACATCAAGTTGGTGGTGAGCATCCCAGTCAACCTTCTGTAGATTTTCCTACAAAATGACACACATAACCATCTAAAATCCCAGTTATTATTGTTGTTAGAAGGTCTTAGTTCAGTTTTGTTGATGAAATTGGAGACTATGACCTCATGGTCACTTTTACCCAGGGGAAACAAAGGCGAGAGGTTGTCACTTATGAATTCTTCGTTTGCATATACTCATTCTAAGCATGACGGCGTTTGTCTATTTCTCCGACGAGTTGTTGACTTGACATTAATTAATAATCCCATATCTTCAGTGAGGTTGGAGAACTGAGATTCAGTACACTTGTCACCTCCAATATACGTATGTTCAGCGAAGTTAAATCTAGGAAGGCTGAAGTCTCCTAGAATCAGGACTTGAGTGTATCCGAGTCGAGTAGAGCGAGACAACCCTTCCAGTATATGATTGTCAAACACGGTTTCAGCAATGGGCTTCCTATAGATAACCTCAATTGAAAACCACGAGGTGTTATACAATCTTACTGAACACCACAAAGATTCATCAAGGTTGACAACTTCTTGGGTGTACGCTTGATGTGCTTTCAGGCGAAATCACAGACACACAGCTACTCAGCACACCATTTCTGTTTTCCTGTCTTTGCGAAATAAAGACTGTACTATTATTATTCAGATAGTAATAATAAACGCCAAGTATTGTTAGACCCTGTTCCGCAATTTGTGAAGATATTTATGTTTCAGATATTCATGTCACATAATGACTGTTAGCATTATCTAGTTCACGCTACTCACTTATTTTATTCGGTTAGCTCACGGTGTTCATATATAGGTAGATTATGCTTTCAATTCGAAACGCGTGAGCTTCCTCGTCCAGATTGTCCAAACGAGCTGTATGTGAATGTGTAGATAACCTACCTACACAGCGGTTTCCGAGTTGGTATATCTTACCTGCTTCTACCTTGTCCATGAACTTGACAGTCCACAAAAAAAATGGTCAGATCCAACTTGCTTTTGGGCTTGATCCTTGCATTATGTTGCCTGTCCGGACGCATATGCATTCGACGTCTATTGATGCAAAATGCTTGGTGAGTGGCGGACACTGTGTAAGAGGATTGAAAGGTTATCTTCACTACTCGGGGCATAGAATCCCCATCCTTCATGGTTATTCGCACCACTTATCGAGTCACTGTTCTTGCGCCCCAAGGACTGCTCTATGAATTTCCACTTCAGAACATTATAGTCCGCTTATTCGGGAACTGTGTCTCATGTAACACCTTGCACAACAATACTTCTTCCGCGAAAGAACTGATGGGGTGTTCCTGATGGTGTTACGCTCAAAATATGGCATGTCAAGCAGTATTCTTTTGTCCCTTCTGATTTCAGCAAGGGGCTAACTAGCAGAATATCCTGTACGTCAGAAGTGTTGGTTAATATTATACAGAAGTGTCTTGGGTAATTTTAGTGCTTGGAGTCAGCTAACATACAATTTTTTCTGGGCTTATGAATTTTTTCATAGTGTCTTTTTGAAGTCTCTGTTCTAGGAGGCAGGAAAAATTATAGCATATCAGATGCAAATTTATCAACCAGTAATTAAAAACTGTGACCAAGTCACTTCCTGTCTTTCCATTTGACGTAGGAAATACGTCTAGTTTATTTGGCTCGTCTTCATAAAGAAGAATTACGACTCCGGGATTCAGCTTACTCTCGGCTCTTCGAGCATTTTCAAACAGTACAATGTCATGTTTCAGACAGGAGTCAGTTGCTTGTGAGCAATGCACGAGTTTAGAACGAACAAACAACATACAAGAAATCAAAAAGGTCTCACATCGACATGACTTATGTTCCTACTTATTGAGCACAAGGTTTTAAATCCTTCGGTGGTTATTTCACGACAGCGTGCAGTAGTTTTTAAGTCTTGCCTAACGACGGCTCGTGGTTCATTGCGTGTTCGAACAACAGGTACCTCACTGTTACTCACTACTCATGTATCTGTAACTTGACCACCATTGTGTATTATAATGCACTGGTAGGAATTTATCGGCAACTGTCATGACCTGGTAGCTGCCATGAGATCTGGACGTCTCACTGTTAAAGCTTGTACTAACGAACAGTCTGAAGTATTAACAGGTCTATCTTGTAATAATTGTCGAGAAATTCAGTCAATGTGTTGAATTTGTTTGGCACTTCTGTGCTGAACCGTATAGTCATATGCACTCAAAACAATACTCCATCGTTGAACCATAGCAGCTGAGGAACGTGCTAAAGATTTCTCAGGATGATAAATAAACTTTAAAGCTTCATGTTCAGTAACAGTAGTGAATTTCTTTCAAAATAAATATTTATGAAGTCTTTTAACAGCCTGAAACACAGCAAATGCTTCTCTCTGAGTTTGTGAATAATCTTGTTCAGTAACAGTAAGTTTGCGTGAAACACAAATAACTGGTCTATCTTCCTGCTCCAAAACTGCACCAATACCCAAAGGTGATGCATTAGTAATGAGCACAGAATGTGCACTGAGGGAGTAAGTTCGAAGAACAGCATCACTTTGAAGGAACTTTAGTAGACTTATTAAGCACGACTCCTGCTCTTCACCCCAATTGAATGAATTGGATGTCAAAATATTAAATAAACAACTGGCACGACAAGAAAAATTAGGAATAAGACGGGAATAGTATTGAAGGGCATCCACTAATGAACGTAGTTCTGTAAGATTCTTTGGAGATGATTGTGGTGATCTTGTTGGTTTGTGTGCCACACCTATTCCGAAGGTTGTCATCAGTCTCGTTGCGGTTTCTGATATGCCTTTTATGTATGACAGAATGATCCATTTGTTGATTGCTGTACTTGGCTTGGCTTCTGATGATGCGTGCGGCTGACATTTTTGATGAAGTTGATTCGGTAGCCTTTTTTGAAATACGTCTTTCAGATGTTTATCTTCATTTTTCCGTGCAGCCAGTGTGCTGCAGTGTTTCTTAGCCCACACAAACGTCAAAATCACCACAATCAATTCTATGCAAACCGAAGGATGAAATGACAAAAGAAGACAAATCAAACATCATCTACAAAATAAATTGAGCCCACTTCATCTTCACCTACATGAACATCAATTAGCAGCAAAACATCATGACATTTTATCGCTTATATCAATACACGTGGACAGCTGCGCACACTCATTTGACTGGGAAAATGTGGAAATCTGGGATAGAGGAAATTCCGAATACATCAGAGGATTTTTAAAAGCTTGGCACTCAGGTCAATCGGCAATCAAAAAGCACATTGAAATCGATCCAATTTATCAACCAGTCAC